GATATATACTCTCCAGCTTGAGGGGGAGTGTTAGAATGCTCGAGTCAGGGGTATTTTGGTCATTCTGGTGTATCTTCTTGAAAGTGAAAGGTCTATTGTATCTGAGTTTAAGTTATGTGTCCCATCTTCTATGAGAGACAAAATTGTCTTTCTTGTAACTCAAGTTTTATGAATAAAAGTCAAGTGGGTCGGTTAGGAGAGTGATTTTTAACATTCTCTCTTCTAGTCTGGCCGAATACTCTTCTCTCCTTCTTCTTTCTCTTTTCTTTCTTCTTTCTTCTTCTCTACTTTGACCTAGAATCAACTAGGGTTTATTCACAGTTTTTAAGTAGGATCCCAAATAGTTGTTTTCAAGTTGCCAGTGTGGGACCAGGGGTATTTCCATCATTTTATAATTCATGTTCTGGTCAGTGGCATTCTAGGGGCTTATGTGTAACTATATTGGTTGGATTCTCTAGCAAGCCATTGAGTCTTACAAAAGAGGGGGGATGATTTTGTAGAGGTCTTTTTGGTTCTCTCTCTCTTATTTGAGGAGTCTACCCATTTGGTGCCTTTCGATCCCTCTATTGCTGCGTGTCAGAGACCAATTTGACGCCATTTTTACTGTAACAGAACTGTTCCAGGAGTTCTAATTCAAGTATCTGAAATCCCTAAGAATCCGACTTTTTTATTGTTTTCAGCTTGTATTGTTGTACATTTGAAATGTTGTATATATCTTGCTTTTCTGTCCACATCAATCTTCAAATGGTGTAATCTCTTTAAAATTATTATGTTTATCACTTTATAATAATGCAATTATTCAAAAGAATAGGCCCCCTTATAATTTCAAAAAATATTAACAAATATTTTCATAAGTTAATATGTACAATGTTATAAAATTTTTACAACAAATCTACATAATTTCTAATATTTCCAACACATTTCTAATTTTCAAGTGGTTGATATTCCACCAAAACTGACATTTTAAACCTTGGTTAAAATATACCATTTTATATAAAGTACTAGTACGTGTTTACATGCTTTGCATGTGACAAATTTTGTGATGATGATAATAGTATATAATATGCTTCCAAAATTTTCTATATTTTTTTTATTATTTTTATGTCTATAAAGATTATTCTTATTTGTCACACTTATTATGGTTCATTAATGTAGAGATATGACCAAGTGTTTTCTACATATTTTGTATACTTTTGTGTTTTTATCTTTTTAAAATTTATTATTTAATGATAACTTCACAAGTTGACACATTTGACTTGAAAAGTTGAATTGACCTACCACCAAACAGGAAAACAATTTCACTTTTGGGTTAGTTTTGAATTTTGTATTTTATTTATATCATCAATAAAAAGTTAAAAACAATTCTTGTTTATTGTATCTAATTTTTAATATGATTAATGTAAAATTAGAGATGTGTCCAAATATTTTCTACAGAATTTCTATATTTTTCATATTTTTTGTATTTTTATCTTTTTTTTTTAATTTTTATTATTTAATTATGAAATCAATGGTTGACACATATGACTCCAAAGGTTGAACTATTGACCTACCACTAGGAAAAGAATTTCATTTTTGGGTTGGTTTTAAATTTCATCTTTTATTTCCAACATCAATAAAGTAACTATTATTTTTCACACTTATTTTTCTTTAATATGATTAATATAAAATATTAGATCAGTGCCTAAATGTTATTTACAAAATTTTTGTATTATCCCATAATGTTTTTTATGTTTTTATATTTTTCCATTTTTATTTAATTATAATATCAAGGGTTGACACATAAAGGTTGAATTGTTGACCTGCCACAACAAAAAAAAAAAAAATTATTTTCGGATTGGTTATAAATTTATATTTCATTCCAACATCAATAAAAATAATTATTATTTATCACACTTATTTTCTTCWATATATATATATATATATATATATATAACATTAGAGATGTGCCCAATTTTTCTATAGTTGTTATTTATTTATATTTTAAGAGTTTTTTATTTAATTATGACATCATGAATTAGCCCACTTGTCCCAAATGGTTGAATTGCTTACTCACCACCATGATAGAAAAATGGTTCCATTTTTGGGTAAATTTTAAAAAATATGTATTTTATATTGTTAAAAGTATTGGATCTAGATCTAATTGATAGAATATATTTGTTTTTATTTTGTGGAAATAATATCTTAAATATAGGATTCAATAAAAGAATGGGAGTTAATACCCTAAGATAAGACTTCATGAGAGGGAAGTGAATGACGAGAAATGTGGTAGTTCAAATTACATTCTATGCCCTCACAACTAGAGAGGGACCAAATTCAAAAATAGGGGTATTCTAGTCAAAAATAGGATTAAATGAATGTTAATGAGAGTTAATACTTTAAATATGAGACTTAAAGAGAGGGATTTGAATGAGGAGAAAAGCAGTTTTTCAAATTACATTTGCATCCTTAAAATTAGACAAAGACCAAATTAAAAAATTGGGATAATTTAGTCAAACAATAGTTCCACACCATTATTCATACTTTTAATAATGGTATAGATAAGCATTAAATAAAAAATGTAAAATGACATTTTTGCTATAGACCTATAGTATGTTTTCCAATTATTGAACAAAAGTACTTTTGTGTCTTTTTATCAAATAAGCACTAAATGAATATGTAAAATTAGGGGTGGCAAATGGATGGGTTGAGTTGGGTTGGGTAAGGGTTGAATATCAACCCACCAATATTGACCCACCAACCCACCATGACCCATCATCAATCCTAGTTAAAGGGTCATAACCCACCCTGACCCACCCATATTGACCCACTTGACCCATCCATATTGACCTTTAACCACCCTCATCCATACTAACCCACCTACCCTCTTATAAATACAAAAATGGGTCGGGACGGCCCGTACACGCAAAATAATAAATTTTGAGAGAATAATCTCTCTCAAGACTGTCACGTGACAAAAATGAGTCAGGTCAACCTGTATTCCCGAAAATGCAAAAATTGTAGATAAATGCAGAAATTTGAAGAAAAATTGCAGAAAATGCAAAAAAACCAAAAAATATAGAAAAATACAAAATTTACGAAAAATACTAAAAAATTATAGAAAATTCAGAAGTTTTGCAGAAAAAAAATCAGAAAATATGCAAAAAATACCAGAAAATTTTAAAAAAGGTAGAAAAATGCCAAAAATTTGCAAAAATGCAGAAAAATACCAAAAAATTACAAAAAATGCAAAAAATGCATTTTTATAAAAGTGCTTTCGCAAAAGTACTTTTACAAAAGTGCTTTCGCAAAAGTACTTTTATGAAAGTACTTCTACAAAAGTACTTCTATAAAAGTACTTTCGTAAAAGTACTTTCATAAGCATTCATACAAGTGCTTTCATAAAGTGTTTTCATAAAAGTACTTTAATAAAAGTGCTTTCATGTAAAAGTACTTCTGTAAAAGTGCTTTCATAAAAGTGTTTTCGTAAAAGTACTTTCATAAAGTGCTTTTGTAAAAGTACTTTCGTAAAAGTACTTTTGTGTAAAAGTGCTTTCATAAAAGTTCTTTTCATAAAATTACTTTATAAAATTGCTTTTGTAAAAGTGCTTTTGTATAAAATTGCATGTGAACACGAAAGTTAATAAAATCTATTTTATTTCACTTTTATTCTCAAAATGAAATTTGGCATAGTGGTTTGGAAGTGTAATGAGATGTTGGCACGCTAGGAGGTTTGAGTTCGAATCGCTACAACTTCCATATTTTGAGATTTGGCGAGTATAGATAGAGTTGACTTTGATCCAACCCATCTTGACCCATGCGACCCAACCCATCCTGACCCTAATGGG